GAATTCTATTTAGAACTTTCAAATTTATATTCAGGATGCATACTTGATAATTCTTGAGACTGGTAAAGAATAGTTAATGAAAAAGAATTTGCTGTCTATGAAATTGAATTACAACTTTATAAAAAAAAAATGCCCAAGTCTGACCAAAAATATTTGTGGTCATTTAACATGCACAGAAATTTGAAGGATGGGTACATGGAGTGATTGATTACTGAGACGGATGGAAATTCAGCCTATAGCCTTAAAGTGGCTGTAAACTTTAGTCATGAAATATGAAAAAGCATATCCTTCTGTACGTGGCTCAATTAAGAGCACTAAGTGTTGTTTCTGTCTGCTGCCTTGTTCCTCTGCTATCAGCATGAATCACTTCTGACAAGTTTTCCTGACACCAACAGATTAATGGTGACAGGGGAGGGACATCCAGCAGATTAACAGCCTCAGCTCTGTTCCTGTGAGCTGTGTGTGTGTGGGGGGGGTGTCTCTTCCCTCCAATCAGCAATCAGAGCTTCCCTCACTGAGCTCTGCAGAGTATAGCTTCAGCTCTCCACCCCCTTTTTTCTGAATTCTAGACAAGTTTAATAAATTAAGGACTTTGATGTAGAAAAAAGAAAACTGCAGCTAGACAGGTACAACTCATATAGGAGGATTTGCTTCATCTCTGTGTATCACTGGAGGCCAGTCACTTCACTGGGTATATGTACGGGCTTGATAAATACAGTTGTGACCAAAATTATTCAACCCCCAATGCTGTAAAGGGGTTTAGGGACTATAGTGTACATTTGGAATTGTATTCAGAATCAAATCCTACAAGGACGTTGTAACTACCCAAATGCAACTAAAATGACATCAATTGTTTATGTAATACAGTAGTAAATGGTTCTTATGTGGTTTCTTCATTGCCACAATTATTCAACCCCTTAAAGACTACCACTCTGAAGAACAGAGGTTCATACAGGTGCTTTCCATCAGGTATTGAAAACACCTGTGGATGTCACCGAGCAGCAATCAAGCATAATAAGCACCAATTAGGCAGCTTTAAAATGACTGTGATACTCAGCTCCTTCTAGACATTTACTGGTGTGGTTACAAACATGGTGAAGGCAAGAGAATGGTCCAGGAAGACAAGAGAAGAGGTGATTTCTCTCTTCACAGGAAGGGCAATGGCTATAAGAAGATTGCAAAGATGTTAAACATACCAAGAGACACCTTAGGAAGCATCATTCGCAAATTCAAGGCAAAGGGCACTGTTGAAACGCTACCTGGTCGTGGCAGAAAGAAGATGCTGACTTCGACTGCTGTGCGCTACCTGAAGCGTAGAGTGGAGAGAAGTCCCCGTGTGACTGCTGAGGAACTGAGAAAAGATTTGTCAGATGTGGGTACAGAAGTTTCAGCCCAGACAATAAGACGCACACTGCGTAATGAAGGCCTCCGTGCCAGAACTCCCAGGCGTACCCCCTTGCTGTCTCCAAAGAATAAGAAGAGTCGACTGCAGTATGCCAAAAGCCATGTGGACAAACCACAAAAGTTGTGGGATAGTGTTCTGTGGACTGATGAAACAAAATTAGAACTGTTTGGGCCCATGGATCAACGCTATGTTTGGAGGAGGAAGAACAAGGCCTATGATGAAAAGAACACCTTGCCTACTGTGAAGCATGGTGGAGGGTCAATCATGCTTTGGGGCTGTTTTGCTTCTGCAGGTACAGGGAAGCTTCAGCGTGTGCAAGGTACCATGAATTCTCTTCAGTACCAGGAGATATTGGATGGAAACGTGATGCAGTCCGTCACACACCTGAGGCTTGGGAGACGTTGGACCTTTCAACAGGACAATGATCCCAAGCATACCTCCAAGTCCACTAGAGCATGGTTGCAGAGGAAAGGCTGGAACATTTTGGAGTGGCCATCGCAGTCACCAGACTTAAATCCGATTGAGAACCTCTGGTGGGACTTAAAGAAAGCAGTTGCAGTGCGCAAGCCTAAGAATGTGACTGAACTGGAGGCCTTTGCCCATGAAGAATGGGCGAAGATACCCGTAGATCGCTGCAAGACACTTGTGTCAAGCTATGCTTCACGTTTAAAAGCTGTTATAACTGTAAAAGGATGCTGTACTAAGTACTAAGATTGAATGTCACTTGGGGTTGAATAAAACTGATAATGCTGTGAGCACAGAAAAGACATTTGTGGTTATTTCATTATAACTGTTATGTTATATTTGTCTGACCTACAAGTGCCTCTTTAATGTAAATGTAAGCAAGATGACTGAATGATCAAAAGCAATGTCAAACTGGCCAAAACACTCAATTTCAGTGGGGGTTGAATAATTTTGGTCACAACTGTAAATATAAATGGCGCCACAGAAAAAATCTTAATCTTAATGGCCCAATGGCCAATTACTCTTTTACCAGCTGCAAAATCCACCCTATAAACATAGGTGTACAATCAAAAGAAAAATAATTTGCTCTAGTAAAATATATATAAATACAAATATAAGTGAATAAATGTCCCAAAAAAGTATATAAAAAAAATAAAGTCCAATAAAGTGAAAAAAATATATATTGAAAAAACGTGACAATCCACCACCAAATGTACTAAATTAACTCACCAGAGCTAAATGCTGATAATATTATAAATCAGCATAAAGCGCTTTTTGCTCTGGGAGCGATGGTCAGCAGGCTGATGAAAACGATACTTGGCTTTGAAACTTGATCTCCAGGGGGCAATACTCTGTAACACCCACTACTTGGCTAGCAAATCGATATCCAAGGAGCAATACTCTGCAATTGGATGTGTCACTAGGAAAATCCACTTCTTATAGACACCTCCATATCCATAGCCATAGGGTATTAGACCAAGCACTCGGGAAAAAACAACAGCTCATAGTGCAGTACCCAGCTACTCAGTAAATGCGCCGGACCACTGAGAAATGTAATGACATCACATCAATCAAGCCCCGCCCTACGCGTTTTGTCATCGACGTCCTCACGGGTTTACAATCACTTTAAAGCAGAACTATAGTCAGATTACAGGCATTCAAATATGTGCATATTCTTAACAAACAGTAAATGATCTTTAAAGTATATCCCATCCCAAGAATAAACATTTAAAATATTTCAGATTGCCAGTCCTTAGGGTGGCTGTGTTAGGTTTCTTTTGTAAGACTAAATACATTTTCTACAAGCAAGTACCTGGTGATTGTTTGTAGTATTAATCAGAAGAGCAGCTTAGGGGGTGTCAGGGCTCCCGGGTATGACCAGAGGTGTGTGACTGACGCAGGGAAACGCAGACTTCAGATATGTTATAAACAATACGATTTATTAACACTAACAATACAAACATAAACGCAGTGCAATACTAAACATAACACAGTGCAAACAAACCCAACCAACCACCCACAGATGACAGTACATACAATGCAAGCGTCGTCAGGCAGGCCGGGTCAATATCAATCGGGCAGGTAGGTACAGGGGGAGCAAGCGGAGAATGGTCGGGGTCACAAGCCAGGGTCAGCAGGTAGCGGGCAGCGTGGTACAGAGGGTCAGGCAGAGGGATGGTCAGGAATGAGCCGGGGTCAGAGCAGGAGAAGTCAGCAGAGGTATAGATCAGGCCGGGTCAGCAACAAGACAGGAACAGGAATAGGAACAGGAACAGAAACAGGAAGCAGGAACAGGATACAGGGCCCAGGAAAAACATACACCAAGGCAGAGTCTGCAGGTCTGGCCATCCCTTAAATACACCAGTATAATTAGTTCCAGGTGTTTGACTGGCTGCAAGGTTGAGTCTCTGATTGCTGGGAGCACCCGCTGGCCAGCCCTGGTACTGCAGCTCATAAGGCAGGTGAGTCCCACTATTGCTGGCCAGTCCATTCCTGACAGCACCCCCCCCCCCTCAAGGAGCGGCCTCAGGACGCTCCAAACAGTCCTAGCTGGGCAAAATGTTCCACCGCCCGGGTCTGGCAACTGGCAGGATATAAAAGACTGGCACACCGGGCAGGACTCCGGGCAGCGGCACACCGGGCAGGGGCACACCGGGCAGAGGCACACCGGGCAGAGGCACACCGGGCAGAGGCACATCGGGCTGGACTCCGGGCAGAGGCACATCGGGCTGGACTCCGGGCAGAGGCACATCGGATTACCCAGGCGAAGCAGCAGGCAGCGGTCCACCAGGCGGAGCAGCAGGCACCGGGCCACCAGGCGGAGCAGCAGGCACCGGGCCACCGGGTGGAGCAGCAGGCAGCGGGCCCCCCGGCGGGGCGACAGGCATCGGGCCCCCAAGCGAAGCAGCAGGCACCGGGCCCCCAGGCGGGGCGACAGGCGCCGGGCCCCCAGGCGGGGCGACAGGCGTCGGGCCCCCAGGCGGGGCGACAGGCCCAGGCGGGCGACAGGCCTCGGGCCCCCAGGCGGGGCGACAGGCCTCGGGCCCCCAGGCGGGGCGACAGGCATCGGGCCCCCAGGTGGAGCGACAGGCTCGGGTCCTCAGGCGGAGCGGCGGGTGCCGGACCCCTAGGCGGAGCGACAGGTCTCGGGCCCCCAGGCGGAGCGGCGGGCGCCGGACCCCCTGGCGGAGCGACAGGTCTCGGGCCCTCAGGCGGAGCGGCGGGCGCCGGACCCGAGGTGGAGCGACAGGTCTCGGGCCCTCAGGCGGAGCGGCGGGCACCGAGTCACCGGCACCCCAGTGGAGCGAGTCAACTGGGTCTGCTGGCACCGAGTCGTCTGGCAAGACGGCGGGCGGACCCCGAGTCGTCTGGCAAGACGGGTCTCGGGCACCGAGTCGTCTGGCAAGACGGCGGGCACCGAGTCGTCTGGCAAGACTGCGGGCACCGAGTCGTCTGGCAAGACTGCGGGCACTGAGTCAACTGGCGGAACACGGGGTACCGAGTCGTCTGGCAAGACTGCGGGCACCGAGTCGTCTGGCAAGACTGCGGGCACCGAGTCGTCTGGCAAGACTGCGGGCACCGAGTCAACTGGCGGAACAGCGGGCACCGAGTCGTCTGGCAAGACTGCGGGCATCGAGTCGTCTGGCAAGACTGCGGGCATCGAGTCGTCTGGCAAGACTGCGGGCACCGAGTCGTCTGGCAAGACTGCGGGCACCGAGTCACCAGGTACGACAGCGGGCTCTGAGTCAATTGGCACGACAGCGGGCACCGTGATCAGGTACCGGATCATCTGGATCAACGGGCATCGAGTCAACTGGCCTAATAGGATCATCAGGCTGGATCAGTTCATTATGCTGGGTAGAAGCATCCGGCTGAGTAGAGGCATCCGGCTGAGTAGAGGCATCAGGCTGAGTGGAGGCATCAGGCTGAGTGGAGGCATCAGGCTGAGTAGAGGCATCAGGCTGAGTGGAGGCATCAGGCTGAGTGGAGGCATCAGGCTGAGTGGAGGCATCAGGCTGAGGAGAGGCATCAGGCTGAGGAGAGGCTTCAGGCTGAGTAGAGGCTTCAGGCTGAGTAGAGGCTTCAGGCTGAGTAGAGGCTTCAGGCTGAGTAGAGGCATCAGGCTGAAGAGAGGCATCAGGCTGAACCACGGAAGGCAGGTTCTCGGACGGCAGGCTGACCGGTTTGGATACTGGCAGGATGGTACTGGTTGGAAAGAATTTTCGCTTTTTTCTGTTTTTAACTACTGGTGCACTGCAAGTAAACGCAGGTCTGCAAATGAATGGAGCAGCTGGAGACAGAGAAGAGCTGGAGGATGGAACAGGGGAAGGAACAGTCGCTACAGAGGGCTTCTTTACAGGGTTAAAGGCAGGATAGGTGCAGCGAGTGGGAACAGGGTACTGACATGCGGTAGATAGCCAAGTATACTGGGCTGTAACTGGAGGAGCTGTTGGGAATACAGGAGTAGAGCTTTGAGGAAATAGATTAGAAGCAGGACTGGGTCTTTGTAAGCTGACTGAGGCTGGGTGTAACAAATCTGTCCATGTCTGCAGTATGGGTTGAACAAAGCTGAGCTTACACAAAGCCTGTCTAACCAAAGACTGCACTGCGTTTATACAATCTCTTAGTACCTGTGGTGAACATGTGGAATAACGCTCCAGAAAGTAACCCACATCATCCTCTAATAACCACACCAGGGACTCTACCTGGTCTGCACTAAATGGTGGCAAAAATTCATCCCTGCATTCGGGGGTACCAGATGAAACCAACTCAGCACAAACCTCAATCAATGGCTGCACCTCAGAGAACTCTGTGCCCTGATCTACTAGAACATGAGCGAGCCGTATACATTCTAGCAGTTCATCCCGGGTATACTCCTTCAGAGTTTGATAAGCATACTCCCTGTCATCAAACACTAGCAGATATAAATACACAACCTCATCAAGATCCATCCTTCCCATCAACAAACCAAGATGGCTTCCCTGTGCAGCCACTTCTGGTCAGGATTGGCCTTGGTGTAATGTCAGGGCTCCCGGGTATGACCAGAGGTGTGTGACTGACGCAGGGAAACGCAGACTTCAGATATGTTATAAACAATACGATTTATTAACACTAACAATACAAACATAAACGCAGTGCAATACTAAACATAACACAGTGCAAACAAACCCAACCAACCACCCACAGATGACAGTACATACAATGCAAGCGTCGTCAGGCAGGCCGAGTCAATATCAATCGGGCAGGTAGGTACAGGGGGAGCAAGCGGAGAATGGTCGGGGTCACAAGCCAGGGTCAGCGGCAGGTAGCGGCAGCGTGGTACAGAGGGTCAGGCAGAGGGATGGTCAGGAACGAGCCGGGGTCAGAGCAGGAGAAGTCAGCAGAGGTATAGATCAGGCCGGGTCAGCAACAAGACAGGAACAGGAATAGGAACAGGAACAGAAACAGGAAGCAGGAACAGGATACAGGGCCCAGGAAAAAAACATACACCAAGGCAGAGTCTTCAGGTCTGGCCATCCCTTAAAAATACACCAGTATAATTAGTTCCAGGTGTTTGACTGGCTGCAAGGTTGAGTCTCTGATTGCTGGGAGCACCCGCTGGCCAGCCCTGGTACTGCAGCTCATAAGGCAGGTGAGTCCCACTATTGCTGGCCAGTCCATTCCTGACAGGGGGACAACATTGCTTCTCTATAGATACAGTGCAGGTTGTCAGCATTATAGCTCTAGAATAGTATTTTATTCATAGGATTACCAGGTGGCTTTGTGGTTTAGATATGTTTTAAAACAACCACTCACTGACCTCTGTAACTGCAGACACTATAGAATAAATAATCTTCAAAGCTTTTATTTCAGAAGTTCAGTTTACCCTGATCCTCCCTCCAGCCAGTGACTCAGCAGGTGTAGAGATGTCTAATGTCTAATGCAAACACAAAGCAGGTACAGTGCTGAGACCCAACATGACTGACTTCAGAATATGTAAACATTTCAAATGATCATAGCCTGACCATAGTTCTATTTTAAGGTACTTGTAGACACTGCATTGTATTAAGACAGGATTGTATCACTGAAATCGTTTTTTTTGTGAGAATTACATGCCTATGTTCTTTTAGACATGAAAAACCATACCCTGTATGTCTTCACCTACAACAGACACCCCAATGTTGTTTGACTGGGGTTAACAGAATTTTTTTTGTCCATGACATCCAGCATGGCAAACAACTTGGTCACTTGAGATGCATCAGCTAAGAGTACTCACGGAGGTATTAATCACTATTTGCTGGCTTCATTCATTTTATTTTTTTCAGGCTTTTTCCTTTAAGATCACCTGATGATTCTGCCAGTAACACACTTCGGTGAACAGTCGCTAACTGTACGGTATCAATAGACAAGCAGTGTTGTCACCCTAAGATAGGAAATGTATTAACAGGTGGTTTTGTGGTTTATAGTATATGCTTTAAAACAATCACTCACTGAGCTCTGTAACAGCAGACACTATGAAATCATTCACCTTCAAAGCTTCTATTTCAGATGTTCAGTTTACCCTGATTCTCCCTCCAGCCAGTGACTTGGCAGGCATAAAGACTTCTAATGTCTAATGCAAACACAAAGCAGGTACAGTGACTAACTGTACTGTATCAATAGACAAGCAGCATTTTCAACCTACGTTAGGACATGTATTAGGGCTCTTTCACACTAGAATGAAGTGCAAGAAAGCCACGTTCGCGTGCATTTTCCGGCATCAAATTCCAGTCGCACTGCCCTTGCTGCGATCTGCTGCAGGTGTCAATGAAAAGTTAAAAACACCCCAAATGCAAATTCAAAATGAATGGGCTGAAACTGCACTGCACAGAACTGCATGTGAATCGCACAGAAACTGCACAGCGTTCCTGTGCGATTCACACGCAGTTCCAATGCGAAAAGGCCCTCAGGGTAACAGAACACCTCCCACTCCATCTCCATAGCATTGGTGGAGGTATTCTGAAGTTCACAGGAAGACCTGGAAACAATGTTGACTGATGGAGCAGATTGTAGGCAGTGCAGCAAGCTATCGACTCACTAGATTTTTGGGTGGATCATCAGGTATTTTCTGCACTTATAGGAAAGGTGTAGGAGAATGATTTGAACAGTATATGTAGAAGACCAAAAGGGAACATATAAGACAAGTTCATTGTAAGAGTTTTCATACAGTTTACTATGTCCTTGGGATGAATTCAGCATATATACTGTATAATGAAATATGGAATCCCGATATCAACAAGCTTCAATAATATGTACCTATTCAGACATATAGCGTTTGCCTTTACTTCTTTTGCTAAGATGGTAAAAATCATAAAGAACCTTATAAATTGGGAAAAACTTCAAACTTTATTAAACAGATATTCGATAGATTTACAGGAGGATCCTAACATACATTTTAATATCTGACAGTATATCTCTTTGGGTTTTGATATTTCATCAAGACTTGTAATAGGGAGCTCAAACAATAGCTAATTTCACAATTTTTTAGGTCTTCAGTGCTTTACCCCTCTTGGTCAGGTAGTTATGCATTTCTGACTGTAGAATGATGATATCGAATGGTTTTAACATCTTTGTGTGCTGTGAATTTAAAAAGAGAGTGCATGTTTAACCACTTGCTGCCCTGCCACTGTAGAAATACGGCGGCAGGGCGTCACGGGCAGGCAAAACCATGTTTTAAAGCGTGTGTTTTGTAAACAGGTAGGGGGCGCGTGCGAGGCGTGCCGCCGCCCTGCTTGTCCCGCCGATCACAGCCGCGGATGTCAGTCGCCGGGTCACAGCCAGTCCTTACCGGCTATGACCCAGCGATCGGCGGCAATCAGTGACAGAGAGCCCAGCTGCAGTAGCTGTGCTATCTGTCACTTCCCTGACAGCTCGAGAACACGCTGACCGGGACAGAAGAGTTTCCCTCTCCCGATCAGCAGTGTTCCCTTCAGTACACACCCCCGCCCCCTAGTAAAACACTCCCCCTCACTCAGATAACCCTTTCCCTGCAAAATAAAGTTAACCCCTTCCTCCCCAGTGCCATTAGTACAGTGTCAGTGTTTTTTTTTTTTTGCACTGATCACTGTATTGGTGTCACTGGGGATGTCAGTGACCCCAAGTCAGTACCCCCCAATGTCAGAATGTCCGCCGCAGTCCCGCAGTCCCGCCATAAGTTGCTGATCACCGCCATAAGTCCCTGATCGCCGCCACAAGTCGCTGATCGCCGCCATTATTAGTATAAAAAAAACCTAAAAATCCCAGTATCTTTCCCGCCATTTGTAAACACTATAACTTTCACGTAAACCAATTAAATTTACACGTATTGGGGTTTTTTTTGTACCAAAGACATGTCGCAGAATGCATTTTGGCAGAAATTTATGACTAAATTTGATTTTTAAATTTTTTTTTTACTGGACATGTTTTATAGCAAATAGTCCAAAATTTAGTTTTTTTTCCTCAAAATTGGCAGCCTTTTTTTTTTTTATAGCGCAAAAAATAAAAACCGCACAGGCGATCAAATACCACTGAAAGAAAGCTCAATTTGTGGGGAAAAAAAGGATGTAAATTTAATTTATGTACCGTATTGCATGACCGTGCAATTGTCCGTTAAACTAGCACAGCGCTGTATAGCAAAAAAATGGTGTAAATTGCAGTATCTATACCATAGTTTGTAGACACTATAACGTTCACAAAAAGCAATCAATATACACTTATTGGGATTTTTTTTACCAAAAACATGTAGCAGAATAAATTTTGGCCTAAATTTATGACTAACTTTGAGTTTACTATATATTTTTTATAGCTGAAAGTAAAAAATATTGTTTTTCTTCAAAATTTTTGGCCTTTTTTTGTTTATAGCGTGAAAAATAAAAAGTGCACAGATGATCAAATACCACCAAAAGAAAGCTCTATTTGTGTGAAAAAAAGGACTTAAATTTCGTTTGGGTGCAGCATTGCATGACCGCCCAATTATCAGTTGAATTAGTGCAGCGCCGAGTAGCAAAAAGAGGCCTGGTCATTAAGGGGGGTAAATCCTCTGGGGCTCAAGTGGTTAATAAGGTACAGTATTCTTCAGAGGCCTGTTTACTGGTAGCAGAACAAGTATCTTGGCTTCATTGGTCCTTGACTTCTGTAATAGTCAAGGTTAATATCAAAAGACAAACAAAAGATTTCCCAGAAACACTTACCAGCCAGCTTGCGAAAAAAACAATGTGGCCCTGTCTAACAGTTTGGGTTAAAAACAGAGGGTTTTGTTTGCACACATTTGCAAATTCATGTGTAAGCCACAGTCCCGCGCCAAGGGTCCTCTGTATACTGTGGACCTATCTCTAAAATTTCCAGAGCCTCCATAATAGGAGCACATATATCAATGGACAGGTTACCTATCCATTGATATACAGTATGTGCTCCTACTATGGAATGGAGGCTCTGG